GGTTTTCAGGTGTGAAAAGAGGACACGACAAAATGCTTTGCTGTCTTAGAGAGAAAGACTTAAAAAAAGTATGCCATGCAACTGCGAGGAAGCCCCTCCCCTTCCCCAGGCCTAGGCTCCTCCTCATCTGTGTTCAAGAGGTCAGGCTGCCCTTTGGGGTTGAGACACTTTACTTCAAATCAGGCTTTCCTTGAGAGTTTGTGAAAAATGCAGAGTGTGACCTCCTCTTCCTAGACATTCAGATTCCACAGGTCCTTGTGGACCAGGAAGCTTGATTTTGAAGGAGCAGCCCTCTGGGTCCTCCCTCCCCTGGCAAGGTGACCAGAAGCAGATGCCGTGAGGCCGCACTGGGAGAAAGCGTGGGGTGGCTCTGGGTTCCTGCTCTGCCCTCAGGAAGTCCCAGATTCTGTCACTGGGCATCTCTGGGGAAGGCTGTTAATGATGCAATGGAGACGAGCATCCAAATGGAGTTGTTCCCTCCACCCCACCCCCCTACTCCCCACTGCGGGGGTGAGTGGGGCTCCCCGGGGTTTCTCTTCTTACTTGTTTCCTGTCCTCCCCTCCTGCCTCCCAAACTGGCCCACGGTAAGGAGCTAAGGCAAAAGCAGTGACCCCAGCTCCCTGCCGCTTGTAGGGAGCTACGTGCAGTGCCCACAGGATGCTATGATTTGTTTGGGGCTGGATTCAAGTACATTTATTTGGTCAGCAGTTCTGCGACTCCCCACTATGTGGGCGTGCCACCACAGTGAGCTAGACCCAGCCTGCAGTGCGTGAACGCAGAAGGTTCTGGTGGAAGAGAAGACAGGTTCTGAGCGAGGGGGCCGGCCCTGGCAAGCCCGCCTTGCAACAATGCTGTCATCCCCAGAAGGGCACGCGTGGACCATAATGGCTCTCACTACAAATTCTATTAACTCTAATAGTTGTTCTGTGGTGAATGGATAATGCATTTAGCAGAAATAGACTCAATCAATTTATATGAAACACATAAAACTTTCTCATTGAAATTGGCATCTGTTCTTGAACCGTAGGAGCGTGTGTGGAAATGGACAGTCTGCCACCTTTTCTTCTGGGCACATTAACAGTGCCATGGGTTAATTAGAGAGATGGACCAAGGAAGCTCTGGCTCCCTTATACCCTATCCCTTCAGCCCTTAAAACCATGGGGCTGGTGATGGGGAGGGACCTGGAGACTGTCTCCTTTAAACTGGACTATTAAAAGAAGCAGTTTTCTTGCCTTTGCCTGTGTTGACATTAGCAGCTCTCCTCTGAGCTCTGCTACTTGGGGGCCTTACTGACATGCCCCAGCTGTTAGATGAGGAGAGAGAAGGTCGTGTGGGGGCAGGACCCTCCCCAGGACCACAGCCTGCTAGTGCAGGCCTGGTGAGGCTGGGCACAGACCTGCTGACTCCTGGTCCAGTGCTTTTTCTGTGGTACTATGTGGTTTTAATTGTCCCCCTGCCCTTTGGCAAGAGAGGAGTACTCAGAAAGCAGTAAACCAACCATCACTGACCAACTCAGAGGTGAGAGTGTAGTTTGATGCCAGGGCTCCGTGAGCTACTAATACTTGTGGGTTGGGCCCAATGTTTGGGCTGGTTCTCATGTAAGTTTTCTGCTCTCCCTATACAACATGTGAGCTCACAGGAGAAGGAGAGAGGGGTAAGGAAGCTGAGGCAGGGTCATGGGCCTTGGGGGTCCTGCCTGTCCTTTTCTGGGCTTTGGTGGGCGGTGACAGAGCCTGTCTGCACATTCATTACTGCTGAGAGAGAGAGAGACAGAAAGAGAGAGAGAGAGAGCTCTGCAGCCCTGTGATTGCATTATCCCAAGCATTTGGTTAACATAATTGTATGTGCAAAGCTGACAAATGTAATTTTCCCAGACTTAATACTTGCCCCATTTTCTCTCTCAGTTTCTTCATCTGATTAGCTAAAGTGACTCAGGCTTCCGAGAAAGCTCCGTGAAGCACCTGGATAGGCTTTCTCCTGCCTAGAAGCTCCAGGCATTCAGCTCTGCCCCTTGGGCTTCGGGGTGAAGGAACCCCTAGAGATGGAGGTCAGGACCTCGTCGTGGGGCTGACTCAGGGGACATGCAGAGCGTTTAGGGAGACCTGGATGTGTTGTGAGTGACTGTTTTTAAAAGCCCCTGTGTAAACTTTTTGTTTCTAGGAGGTGCTCTAACACTTGCCAGGGGGAGAGTGGAAATGCCACCAGCTGCCCTTGGCCCAGCCCCGCAGAAACTGACAGCGCTGAACGTTGGCAAGGACATCTTGTTATCTGGTCTCCCCCATCCTTGGCTGGAAGGCTGGGAACTGATGTGTTTCCTGGACAGGCTGGCCCTTTTGTCTGGGAAGCTCTCCTGCTCTTCCCCATGTTCAGTGTTACTCTCTGGACTTGGCTACCTGGAGTGGCTTAGTTGGCTGAAAGATTGTAGACTTCAGGGTCACATCCTGGCTCCATTCTCTACCCGCTGGGGGACTCATCCCTCTCAACCATCTTCTCATCCCACAGTGGTAAAGAAAACAACTGTCCCTGGCCAGAGTGAGGTCTGGATGGGTTGGTGTATGAAATAGATGGGCTCCTGATAGCTCCTTCCCTTCCCCTCCCCTCCCACTGCAGCCCCCCCCCCGACCCCCCATCCTTCCCCTTCTTCTCTAGAGGCGCTCGCAGGCAGAAGCTCAGAGCTGGGCCCAGCTTCACCTTGCAGGCCGTCACCTGCTGGCTCACAGGCCACCCCTCCCAGTCTATCCGTGCTCTCTTGTAGACTGGAGTTCTTTGACTGCCTGACCTGGGTCTTGCTCCGCTCAGCATCTCTGAGCACATAACTGGCCACAGAGGAAGCGTACAGGAACTGTGTGTAGTTCTAGATGAAAGCTAGGTGAGGGTGGGCCACGGCATGGACCCAGGGTGGCCTGATCTCCCTGACCATGAGCGGCACCCGGGGGCATGATGGGCTTTGTCCTGTGGGGGTGGGGAAGGGTGACCCTGCTCCTGCTTTTTCTGATGAATCAGGGGGTGCTGGGGCTGGGACATCCATTTGCTGGGAGCCTACCTCAGTTTCTCCCTCCCCTTGAGCTCCCCAGGGCAAGAGTGGGTTCCTGGGAAAACACGGCCTCTGTATTCGGTTTTCTAAAGCCTTTCCAAGGAGCCCACTAAGGCTGCAGGGGGATGAATTTGCCTCAGCGTCCTCTTCCCTTGGAGGTGGGGTCATTGCAGAAGGGAGTCTGGAGATGGAATGCTGATGCCCCCCTCCCCCCAACCCCTGCCTCCTGCTCTGAGGCTGGGTTGGGCAGCAGAAGAAGCTCTGGGCTCTCGGGCAGCCACTCGCTGCTCCTTCTATTTGGAGGTGGTGGGGAGCAGGGCCACTTTCCAGTTGCCTCATGATTTTGTTAGTGTGATTGGCTACTGGGCAGACCCTCATCGATGAGCCTTTCAGGGACAGTGGGAGTCATATGGCAATAAACCGGGAGTCAGGCTGCTAAATGCTGGCTGCTAAAATCGGAGAACTGAGCTCAAGCCTCAGCCCTGCCCCCCCCCCCGCCCCCGGTCAATCCATAGGTGTTCCCAGAGCCCCCCTATGTAATCAGTGCTGGTGGCGAGGCGGGGCCAGGGTCTGCCACGAGGTTTGCTGAACCTGTCCTGAATGCACTGCAGGGAGGCAGTCACTGACCAGGACCCAGGGAGTCCTGGAGGTCTGTCCCTGGGGTGGGGTGGTGGGGCGGCGGTCGATGGACAGAAGGCCGCTTGCCTCACCTTAGCCGTTTTCATGAACAACGGGGCAGAGTAGGGAAATAGACAGAGGCAGCAGGTTCCCTTTCATTTGGACAAATGAAAAGGTGTTCTGAGGTTTTAGTTAAAGATGAAGGGAGGAGAGGGGAGAGGTGAGGGGGAAAAGCAATGAACTCTTTCCCCCTGGTCCAGCCGCTAGATCAGGCAGGAATCCAGGACAGAGAGAGCTACACCTGGGGTGGCTTTTCAACCGGAGAAAGGAAGGGGTTTCTTTCTTTGAAGATAAACCAAAGCTGATATTTATGAAATAAGTTGAGAGTCAATGAGTTTAGTGTGAAGGTGTAAGTCTCCACTTGTTTTTTTTCTTTGTATTTTGCACTAAACAAGGATTTCACATTACAAGCAGAAATTTATCATTTATCTATTGTGATTTTAATAAAGTGATCTTTTATAGGAAAAAGGGTATGGGTGGACAGTGCTGTGCACATGCTTCTCCAGGTTACTCATTTCACTCCCATATCCAGGCACCCAGACCACCGGGGGAACCCCTTGACCTGCTCGTGTCAGGCCCCAGCTTCTCTGGGGCGAGGCTCACAGATCTAGCATCTGCCCAGGAACATCATACTGGCTTTGGAAACCGATTCTAAGAGATTTCCTCCTGGTACGAAGAATAGCTGAGAAGTCACACCATGGTTTAGGGCCAGAGGCTGAAGAAGACTGTGTTTGAAGTTCCCATGGGAAGTCCTTCCGCCCGGAAGATGCTGAATCAGACAGCTTTGGAAGGCAGCCAAGCTTTGGGGAATCATGTTGAATCTGAAGCTTTTGGGCCTTTACCCGTGATGGGCTAGCCTGGCTTTGCAGAGTGGGCCCAACACTCTTTAGGAGGAGCAGAAATCTGGTGTAAGGTTTGCTTTGCTCTGTAAATGGGGAGTGGTTTCAAGGGACGGAGTTTGAAGAAAGGAGATCGGCTTGGTACTCCAGTGTCGGTTCCTGGGTCCTCCCTAGGCACAGAGGAGAGTTGGTCCTTTGTTCAACTTCCAGATACTCCATTCGGCCAGAAAATTAGAGACCCTAATGACCTTCTCTTATAGCCACACAGCCAGGGTGTAGGTGATGGTCCTTTGAACGGTTGACTCTTTTATTCTTTAAACACAGCTCCCTACCGCCATCACAGCCTGTATCTTTCTTCTGCCTTTTGCAGCAGCAGCAGCAACAACAACAACAACAACAACAACAACAACAAAACGACCTCGCTCAAATTTGTAAGTCGAACCCTTACCTGTGGGGTCAAAGATGGGAGTCTCTCTTGTATTTTCCCAGGATTTTGGCTCCTTGTTTGGGTTTCTCTCAAATAGATTTCTTGATTTGGGTGCCGTATCCTGTGGCATCTTGTCCTCCCCACTGACTAGAGAAGAGAAGACCCCACGGGCTGAGTTAAGTGAGGCTCGGTTTAAGGGAGAGAGAGAAGTATGCCCCAGGGAAGGTGGGGGAGGCGGGTGGGCTCAGGAGGGAGAGTGTGGCTGTGGGTCGTCTGGGTTGGTGACAAGTGCCAGGGACAGGGGGAACTCACTGGTGAGGTAGCAGTCCAGGCTGATGGAGATATTGTCAAAAGCCACGGTGGCTCTGGATCCTTGTCCCCACCAAGCAACCATCTGCAGCCAGAACCTGTAGGTGTGGTAAGAGGACCATGGGTGAGGAACGGCGTGGGTCGGTCACCTGGCAGGACTCAGCGTCTGGTGGCCGTGTGCCTATGAGGGGCTCACAGTTGCCCTTTTGGTCAGTCTTCCTTCATGGCAGAGTAGTTGTGAGAGGGGAGCTGTCCCCTACTTCCCTGTCTGAGGGATTGTTCCATAGGTTAATCCATTCTGGAGTTTGGGGGTTGGTTCTGGGGCTCCCTGAAACGGCTCGGAAACTCCTCGGAGACCTCTTTCACTTACTGGGTGTAGAGGGCGGGCAGGAATGGGTAGGCTTGATATTCAGCGGGTAGTCCCTGAGGGAGCCGAAGTCATTACTAAAATATCTCTGTACCAACTGATAACAGCCACTGTCCCCCAAGTGTCCCCTGCTTGTTGCCTCAGGCAGCCTGGCTCCTTCCCGGGTACCCCCTGTTTTCCCCATTATTTAGCAACAGAGAGGTTAACCCCCGGCACAGTGTAACAGAGGAGGGGGGTTCCCTCAAGGATCTGGCATCTTAGCCAATGTCAGTCTCCACTGGGGTTGCTCTGTGTGGTGCCTGACCCATTGTTGAATATTAAATAATTTGGCTCTGATCCCTGGGAGTGTTTGTAACCAACACAGAGCAGCCTGAATTAACAGTAAACCTACTTAGGTTTGCTCACAGAGAAGGCAGCCTTGAAGTGGGTTTCAAAGGAAGGTGAGGACTGGAAGGCGTGGATGTGGGGCGGGGAACAGTGAGGGGAGGGCATCTGCGGCGGAGGAACCGGAGTGAGGGACGGCTCAGCGCAGGGCCAGGCCCCTGTGGTTCACGTGTGAGGGGTGTGGAAGGATGCGGTGAGTGGCCAGTGGTTACAAACAGCATCAGGCTTCTCCATGAGCCACAGTGAGGTCACGGTTTCCTTAGATTTCCCCAGGGGACGCGGCCCGAGGATAAGCCCCCAGCTCCAGCCTGGGTCAGCCCGGACAAACCCAGGCCTGGCATTCTCAGGGGGCAAACAGGGGCTGGGACACTGTCATCTTGGTCTGTTTACAGCAGTTGCCAGGGTAAGAGAGAGGCTGCTTGCAGACCGCAAGAGAACAGGTGCATGGAGCCCCTTGGGGATGGCAACTAGAAAGAATCACATCCCTGGGTGGAAGAGCGGTGGGGAAGGCCCCACGGCCCACCTTTCCCAATTCTCCACTCTGGGTCACCAGCTCCTCATCCGTCATCCACAGGCTGAGGGGCCAGGCCAGGTGCTGAGCATCCTGGGCGTCCCTTCCAGGTGGCCTGGGGTGCCAGAACGAGTGAATTACCTGTGTGCACCTGCTGAGCACAGGGGAGAGGGACAAAACCCCTGTTTTGCCCTAACTGGGCCCTTTCTGGGAGATACACAGCTCCCCTCCCTTCCCTGCTTTCCCTCCCTTCTCTCCGCTCTTCTTCTTCATTACTGAGAGATTAGGGCTGCAAGGTTCTCCACCCGCCACTGGGCCTCTTAGCATGGATGGCATGATGCACACTGGGCTGGAATGGTCTCTAAATAGAAGAGTTTCTAAAGTGCTCTGCAAGGCAAGAGCAGTGGCAGCTGCTGTGTAAAAGAATTTGATTGACATAGGGAATTGCACATAGTCGGGAGTCAGGAACACTCCTAACAATCAGGGAAGACTCAATCAGATGTCGAATCAGATGTAAACATGCAACGAGGCCTCCCTCCACCCACAAGGCCACCCTGCCAACCCTGCCCCAAGTGCCCCAGACTCCAGAGGCTGCAGGAGGGGGTGGGAGGGGGAGGGACGAAGGTGGGTCACGCTGGGGTGTGGGGACAGCAGGTATGGAGCAGAGGCATTCTGGGAATAGTCTTTGGCAGTGGCAGGTTCGGGGGCAGGGAGGGGACAGCAGGACCCATCTGGGATTTTCTGTTCTTCGGGGCACCAGCCAAGAGGCTGGTGGCCATCAGGGCCACCCAGATTCAGGAGATTCGGGATTCTCTGCATTGGATGGTACCTGGTTGAGTGTCTTCAACTGAACCTCAGGGGAAGAAGAGATTGCTCTTGGCTCTGCTTCCCTCCCCTCCCTGCTGAGGATGAGTGAGGCTTCCTCAAGGTCCTTAGTCTTTCTGATGCAATGAGTTTTTCCTATTGCATTCCCCCAAAAGTGCAGATACCAAGTCACTCTCCAGGTCAGCTGCGGCCTTGGGTCTTGTCTATACTAGGTATATACTAGGTGGAGTGGTTTGGGATTGAGGGAAAGTTCTAGCAAGCACCAGTTAGACTGCTCCAGGATGGAGGGAAAGTTCTAGCATGCACCAGTTGGACTGCTCCAGGATTGAAGGAAAGTTCTAGCATGCACCAGCTAGACTGCTCTAGGATGGAGGGAAAGTTCTAGCATGCACCAGTTAGACTCTCTAGGATGGAGGGAAAGTTCTAGCATGCACCAGTTAGACTGCTCTAGGATTTAGGGAAAGTTCTAGCATGCACCAGTTAGGCTGCTCCAGGATTGAGGGAAAGTTCTAGCATGCACCAGTTAGACTGCTCCAGGATGGAGGGAAAGTTCTAGCATGCACCAGTTAGACTGCTCTAGGGCTGAGGGAATGTTCTAGCATGCAGCAGATGGACTTCCCTGAGTCTAAGGAAAGGCAAGGTCCATGCTGCATTACTGCCAGGATTATGAGTATCAGGTGGTTTAAACAAATGTTAGGTTACTCCAGCGCTCTTTATCCCGAAGCCTTAGCCCTGTGTGGAGAAAGAAAGTTGAGCCCTCATGGCTAGGAGAACCTAGCCCTCCTTCTCTGGGCAGCCTGGTCAAGGAGAAGGGAAGAGTGAGCTCTTTGGGTCTCCTCCGGCTCCCTCGCTGATCCGTGCTATTTAAGAAAAAGGCAGCTGAGCTCTTTCTAGCCCTTAGCAGTTGATTCCACTCCCTGCCCCTCAATAGTTCACACCTGCTCAGCTCTTTCAGTTTTTCCAAATAAGACACTTTTGATTGCACGGATTATTGTTGCTTTTTCTTTTTTCCAGCTGGTGGGGTTTGGAACTTGTTGATAAAACAGACTTGGCTTGAGATCTCGGTTGGAGCCTGTCTTCGCACAAAGAACGTACCCCTCGACTCTGTTCTTGCTCGGTTTTACAGAGAGGCCTGTTGAAAACCGGTCCCCTGGGGGGGGTGGTGGTTCAGGGAGGTGGGCACTGGGGCAGTGGGCCAGGTTTGGAGGGGACAGCCTTGAAACTGGTTGTCTCCCAGGCTCACCAGACAGATCTCTGCATTGGAAATGCTGACATGGCTCATGCACCGCTCCGAAAAGGCACAGTCTCGTTCAGGCAACAGACTGCTAATGGACAGTGAATATAATGCCTTATTTGCCACCGTGGCAGCCTTGGGGATGGACAAACCTAATTAAGTTCACTTAATGATTTTAAGTAGCTGACAAAAAGGTGTGTGTCTGAATGTGGATTGGGGGAATAGTAAGGCTTTAGAGAGAGAGAGCAAGAAAGAATGGCCTGCCTGGGTAAAAGGCATTTATTTAACGGATGGGCGCCACATCTCAGATTCCTCTGGACCATTTAGTGGGCTTGGGGGGGGGCAGTGTTCCGCAACCCTTTTCGCAGCTGGGGCTTGTCTAGGCTCTGGCTGCTTAGGATCGAGCTGGCAGATACTGCTGAGGAAAAATGCTTTCTCCAATTTCTCCCTGAGCACTTGATTTGCTCGGCAAAAGTCTTCTAAAATGGACTGTCACAGAGCTCGGGTCGCGTTATGCATTTCTATTAGAATAATGTATGTGATGAGAAGGCCCTGCAGCATCCATCCTATTATCTGCATAACTGACTTCGGATACCAGTCGAAGAGGAGCGGCTGACGGCCGACTTTGGGTTGCAGGGACCAGCCTGGCTCAGATCACCATGACCCACCCTTGACATGGGTGCCTGGCTTGACTCTGGAATTCAGCTCTGAGACAGGAAAGTGGGTCTGGACATTAACGGCCAGACTCAGTGGCTGAAAGCACCCTCTCTTCCTGCTCAGTCCCAACTCTCAGAAGGAATTTACCATCCTCTGACTTGGTTTCCCTTCTGGGGATTATGACCCCCACAGCAGTGAAAGTGAGTCACCACAGAGTGATTCCCTGATTGCCAAAGGCCATAGAGATCTTTCACAATGAACTGGCTTTTGTGAGGGAGCCCTGTGGGGTGGAAGAGGGGAGAAAATGAGTTTTTTAGCCAAGCTCAGAAAGCAGAGAAAATCACTCCCACTCTTCAACAATCTCAGTCCCAGGCTTCCAGGCACTGGCTGTGTGTGACTAATGGTCCTGGTTCCCACATTTGCTCTGGCATGCCACCAGTCGGCAAGGCCTCCCACGAGGGTGTTCCACCAGACTGCAGGGCGGGAAGATGTCCTACTCTGGCAAGTTCCCACTTTGCGCTTTCATTTTCTCATTCTGCATCATGTACATGGAGTTCTCCCTGGGCCCTAAATTTGAAGGGAAAGGAGAAGGGCAGATCTTGCTTCTTGGAGCCCTGGCCTGGTGGTGGTGGGGTGGGGGCTGGGGGTGGGGGCTGGGAACTGATACACTTGCTCAGCAGGCTCCAAACTATCAGGTGCCCTGAGGAAGGAGGGGTCATGCCCTTGGCCCAGGGATCCCTTGGAACAACTGGGGTCCTTTGGAAGGCCATCCAGAGCTAGACGGCACCTGCATCCATTCTGCTCGAGAGACTGAGACATCTACTGTACCTTTCTCAGGACGCAAAGGCATTTCCAACCCTGGTCTCTTCCTCTACTCTTTGCTGCTGTGTGGGATTATGGCTTTGAGGGCTGAGATGATGCCAGAGACAGAGGCAATGTTCATGGTAAGAAGATCCAGGAAAAGGGTGGTTGCTGGTTCCCTTCTTTCCTGACTGACAGAAATATCTTTATGAGGGTGAATTAGCAGCTTTCTCTGCTTGGTGAGGGCTGAGTTTCAAAAGGTAGAGTGGAGTGAAGACTGGGCTACATACTTGGTGGACCCTGGGCAAGTCACTGAAAT